TATATATGCTCGACACAAGGCAGATAACCCATGTGTTAAGCGAATGTTCTGAGGGTCGCGATGTCAAAACATATATGTTTATGTTTAAATTTCTCTAGGCTACATTGGGGCTATCTTTAGGGGGTATAGAAACCATCTCGATACTTTCCTTGTACCCCCTCCCTTGACCTAATCGACACTTCTTCTCTCTAATCTAGTCACCTAGTCTAGAGGAGGATGCGGACGAGGAACACGGCGACTAGTGCGAACAGTGCGAACAGGCGAGGCAGGACGAGATGCAGGCTCGCGACGCTATGTAAGAGAGTCTGTCTGCTCAGTGTAAGGAGAAGGAGCAGGCAGTTGGGAGTCTGGCTGTAACAGTGGCTGCGACTGGTCAGGCGGTGGACACAGTAAGGGAGGAGTAAGGCCAATGGAAGATGGGAGACTAAGAACCTGGTGAAGTACTGAGCCAGGTGGCGGCAGAGACGACGGCGGCGGTGGAACGAAAAACGGTCGCCGCTACACAGTACCTCCAGCACCAGTACCGCCAGCTCCAGCGCCCCCAGCGCCAGCACCTCCAGCTCCAGGGCCTCTAGCACCAGCGCCGCCAGCTCCAAGGTCTCCAGCTCCAGCACCTCCAGCTCCAGCGCCTCTTGCTCCAGCGCCTCCAGCTCCAGTGCCCCAACTCCAGCGTCTCCAACTCCAGTGCCTACAGCTCCAGCGCCTCCAGCTCTAGCACCTCTAGTACCTCCAGCACCAGCAGCAACACCAGCTCCAGCAGCTCCTGTACCTCCAGTACGAGCACCTCCAGGACCCGCAGCTCCAGCACCTCCGCGAATAGTAGCTCCAGCGCCTCCAGCTCCAGTGCCTCCAGCGGCAGGGCCTCCAGCTCCAGCCGCGCCACCCCAAAGGCAGGTGCACCGAGCAAACCACTCGCGCAGCTGCCGCGGTGAGAGAGGCTCCCGCCGGCGAGACTGCCATGGCGAGGCACCCATAAGACCTCCAGAAGACGCAGTACCCCTAGGCTCAGCACCCCCAGACTCAGTACCCTCTGGCTCAGCACCCCCAGGCTCCGCACCCTCAGGCTCAGCACCACCAGGCTCTGCACCCTCCGACTCAGCACCCCCAGGCTCCGCACTCTCAGGCTCAGCACCCCCAGGCTCTGCACGCTCAGGCTCAGCACCCCCAAGCTCTGCACCCGCTGGCTCAGCACCCCCAGACGCAACACCCCTAGCAACACCACCCCCAGCAGCACCAGAGTCGACAGTGACCTCGACAGGCTCAGCCAAGGAGAGTGGGTCTATCTGAGACACACCTGAGGGATCAGGACCCTGAGGGAGGAGGGGGTCTACCGGAGGGGGACCCGGAGCAAGGAAGATCGGCGGGGGGGGGAGAGGGGCAGTGCGGTAGGGGAAGAGACGGTAAAAGGGAAACGACTCGTCAAACGTGACCTCCTGAGAGGGCAAGACATGGCGCGTGGTAGGGTCGTAAAACTGCCAGCCAGGCGTGTCGGGGGGAAAGCCAAGGAAGACGCAGGGAATGGCGCGAGAGGAGAGCTTGTCCGCAGAAGTATTGCAGACAAAGGCACGACAACCCCAGACCCGGAACACCGACGCATCGCCAACCTCCCCCATCCAATGCAGTGTAGGCGAGATCTCTGGCAAGGAGACACGGGGCCAGAGGTTGAGCTGATGCGCAGCGTACCGGACCGCAAACGGCCACAGAAAATGGGGAGCAGCCGCATGGATCATGGAGGTACAAGCCACCTCCATGACTAAGCCAATGCGGCGCTCAGCAATCCCATTTTGCTGCGGGGAGGCCGGAAGCTTGAACGACTGGAGGATGCCCTCCCCACGACAAAAGTCCCGCAGGAGGTCGGAGGAGAACTCACCACCTCTGTCAGAGTGCAGACGCAGGACAGGAAGGTCCTGGCGGAACCGTTCGCGGAGCTGGAGACTGACAGCGCGGATCCAAGGGATCAAGACATCAGGGACCTCACCCTTACTGCGCAAGGGGAAGACCGTGGTGTAATGCGTGTAGTCGTCTACAACCAGCAGAAAGTAGCGCTCGTGGCCCTGTCCACTAATGCGGGCTGGGCCCCACATGTCCATGTTTAGAGTCTGCAGGGGAGCAGTCGTCGGGGGAAACAAGGAGGAGTGAGGAGCGGCGCGCTGCCGCCCCTCAATGCAAGGAAGGCAGGCCGGGGCAGGCGAGGGCGGGAGGGGAGGCAGAGACCTGGGAAGACCAGAGACAAGGAGGCGGGAGTGCATGCCACGGAGGCATGGTAGGGAGGGGTGACCAAGGCGGTGGTGCCAGAGGAGAGTATGGTGGGAGAGGAGACGACACGAACAGGGGGCGGCTACATGACCTGACGCGGACACCTGACCAGACGCAGCCACCTGAGTAGGCTCAGTAGTCAGTGTGCACAGGCTCGACCCAGGCCGACGGGTGAACGTGGCTAGGTGACGGCCCGTGCGTGCACACGTGCAGATCAAGACACGCTGACCCCCAGGAGTGGTGGTAGTGACCATCACATCCTGGAGGGCAGCGGTACTCACCAAGTTTGTAGAGAATGAGGGGAGGTGAAGACCTGACAGTGAGCCAGACGGAACCGCCGGACACAGTACAACAGTGGAGGAACGGGCAAGAACCGGGCCCCTTGAGGGGTCAGCCAGAGAGACTGCAACAGGTGCAGGGAGTGGTGTGACTGTGGTACTGTCGCGAAAGAAGCAGTGGGAAGCACCTAAATCAAGCGTGAAGGTGTGCAAGACCTCAGCAGGCGCAGTACCAGAGAGAGCAGACTCACTAGCACCTAGAGCAGCAGCCTCTATACCTGGGTCGGGCGGCACACACAGGTATCAGTCACCCTCAGCACTAACAGTCAAAGCATACATGCCAGCAAGGATAGCGTCATAGTCAAGAGCAAATATATCCACATCCTTCCTAAACAGCTCTAGCCTACGGAGGAGCTCAGCCTCGTCGCCAAACTCTGCGTGCCATGCGTCGTCAAGACGGGAGAAGCAGTGGTACTATTTGTGACCATCCTTCCCGCATGTTTGACCAGCGCGGTCACCAATGCAAATGATGTACTGGCAGCGAACAGTACCCCCAGACGCCCCACGCTGAACAAACCACTCACAAAGCTGCTTGGGCGTGGGGGTCTCACGCAGACGATGCTGCTGCTGCCGCTGGCCACCGCCATAACCTCCCCTCTGAACGGCTCCACCCCGACCGCCACCACTGCCGCCGCCACCACTGCCGCCGCCACCACTGCCGTCGCCATCACTCCCACTGCCGCCACCACCGCCACCACCACTCTCACAGCTACCACCACCGCCGCCACCGACGCCTCCACTCCCACCACCACTACCACTGCCACCACCGCCACCTCTACCGCCTCCACCGCCTCCACCACCGCATGGACCGCTGCCACCCCCACCACTCTTGCCTCCCTTGCCCTTGCCGCTGCGGTGCCTCCCACTAGAAGTAGACGCACCCCCAACCTCCTCAGCACGAAGGAAATCAATAGCAGCAGCAGAGGCAAAAGAGGGGGCAAGGGGGGAGGGGGAACACCCCTCAAAGAAGGGAGTGCGTGGAGTGCCACGAGCAGCACCTACAGCGACTATGCTAGTCTAAGCTGCAAGGAGGTGCTTCTCGAGCAGGTCAACAGTGAGGTCCGTGGGGTCCAGGGCGAGAAAGAGGTCCCTGACAGAGCGAAGAGAGTCAGGGAGGCGGGTGACGATGAAGTAGAGAGTGATGTACATGGGGGGGGGGGGGGAGGGGGGGGGGGGGGGGGGGGGGGGTTCTTGTCTAGAAACTCGGTTTAAGCGTGGCGCGGTAGCGAGTGTCGCTAGTGCGAAGGTGGGTGATGAGGTCGTCGACTGTGGGAAAGGCTGACAGCTCGGGAAAAAGGTAGGGAATGATAAGTCGGCCGAGAGCAGCAGTGGCAGGGGAGGAGTAACGAGCGACTACAGCATCGAACAGTGCTTTAGCAGTCTTGTGCTGGCCAAAGTGCGCGTGTTCGGCTAACGGCAGGTGGTTGCGAACGGCGAGGCGAGCAGTAGCGTCACGAGTAAGCCACTCTGAGCGAGTCGCACTGTCAGCTGTCTTGGGAGGAGCGAGAGAGGTCCCAGACGTGTGGTCAAACAAGGAGACGCTGTCCCTAGACTCGCTCTATAGGTACAGCTGTAAGTCGTCAAGCCAGATCTCAAACTGGATCGGACGGCCCCCAGGATCGAAGGTGAGAACACTGAAAGAAGCCATAGCAGGTAGAGCAGGTTGGCGCGCGACCAGCAGGGCAGCACGCAGGCAAGGCAGGGCGGCACGCAGGCAGCAGGACGGCGCGACGGGCAGGGCGGCGCACGGGCACTAGGGAAGCGCGCAGGGCAGGACGGGGTGGTGCACGACCAGGGAAGGGCGGCGCGCGGCCAGGGCAGGGCGGCGCGTAGGCAGGGCAGGGCAGCGCGGCGGCCAGCAGGGCGGCGCGCGGGCAGGGCAGGGCGACGCGACGGCAAGCAGGGCGGCGCGCGGGCAGGGCAGGGCAGCGCACGGCCAGGAGGGCGGCGCGACGGGCAGGGCAGGGCGGCGCAGCAGCCAGCAGGGCGGCGCGCGGCCAGCAGGGCGGTGCGACAGGCAGGGCAAGGCGGTGCGGTAGTTAGCAGGGCGGCGCGCGGCCAGCAGGGCAGCGATACGGGGAGGGCAGGGCAGCGCGACTGGTGGGGCAGTGCGACGGGCAGGGTAGGGCGTGTCGTGATATATATTTTATATATGTTTATAAACTGCCTGTAGCTTTAGCTTTAGTGTAGTTATGCCTTCTTGTTGTTGGTGGTGCACCGTTGCTATTTTGCTATATGTACCTTGTGTGCTATAGTGAAACCAATCATTCTCGATTCTCTCTTGGCGACAACTCCCTCGACACCCGCTTGGCCTAGGCTTCTAAGCCTAGGCCCTCCTTAAACCCGGTTCCTAGATTAAGTCCGTATCGTAACATGGTATAGAGCCAGGTCCGATTAGGACCGTTTTCAAATGGGCCCACCATTAGTGCTTGCAATGGCGCGCCCGTTAGTGCGCCTCGTGAGCATCTTCCCGTTTTCAGCCCGTCGCCCGCGCATTACCAGGAACGCACGCCAACGCGCACGCCAGGAACGCACCAGCGATAACGCCGACGGACCCGCATGCAAACCCGCCGACAGACCCGCCGTCGGTTCCGCCGACGAGAGCGCCAGCAAACGCGCCGACGGACCCGCCGCCGGACCCGCCAACGAGCTTGTTGCCCATGCGCCAGCGATAATGCCAGCAAAATCGCCAGCGGCTTGCCAGCGCGTTCGCCCACATGCGCTGCCCCGCGTCGCCTCCTCGTCGCACGCTCGCTGGCGAAGGTCGCGACGACCAGCGCGCTGGTCGTCGCGGCCTTCCGTCATCGCCGACCAACGCCAGCCGCGACGGCTGCGCAAGCAGCACCCGCCGCCGCCCGTCGTCAGCTCCCTACCCCGCCACCTCTTCCCCACCCGTCCCGGCCCTGCGCGGTTGCAGAGACGGTCGCGGTGGGGGGGGGGAAGGAAGGGGGAAAAGGGTGGCGGCCCAACCGACGCGCCAGCCAGCTTACACCCCGCCCACCTCCCGTACGCCACCCGTCCCTGCCCCTCCCCGTCCCTCCCTCGTTGCGCACCCCCCGCTACCGCGCCTGCCTATGCTGTGTTGGGCGGTGGTGGGTGTGGTGGACAGTGGGGGCGGCGGTGGCGGGACTGGTGGGAGTGGCGAGAGTGGCGGGGTTGGCGGCTCAAGTGGGGGGGAGGAGGAGTGGGGGAAAGGGGTGGTGGGCGGCCGTCAGAAGCGAGCGCCAGCGCCAGCGTCAGGCCTGCCGCCAGCGCCTACCGCCGTCCCTCTTCCCTTCCACCCCCGTCGCCTTCCCTTCCGCGACTGCAGCTGTGGGGGGGGGAGTGGCTTGGAGGGGGTGATTCAACTGCAGCAACTGCCGCCACGCCTCCTCCTCTCTTTCGCCGTCACTGCTGCTGTTGTGGGGGGGGAGGTTCAGGGGGTGTGGGTGGTGAGAGTTCATCTGCAGCGCCAGCCTCCAGCACCAGGAACCAGCCCCAGCGCCAGCCTCCAGCACCAGGAACCAGCCCCAGCGCCAGCCGCCAGCACCAGGAACCAGCCCCAGCACCAGCCGCCAGCACCAGGAACCAGCCCCAGCGCCAGCCGCCAGCACCAGGAACCAGCCCCAGCGCCAGCCGCCAGCACCAGGAACCAGCCCCAGCGCCAGCCGCCAGCACCAGGAACCAGCCCCAGCGCCAGCCGCCAGCACCAGGAACCAGCCCCAGCGCCAGCCGCCAGCACCAGGAACCAGCCCCAGCGCCAGCCGCCAGCACCAGGAACCAGCCCCAGCGCCAGCCGCCAGCACCAGGAACCAGCCCCAGCGCCAGCCGCCAGCACCAGGAACCAGCACCAGCGCCAGCCGCCAGCACCAGAGGGGTTGAGTGGCGGGTAAGGGGGTGGAAGAAGTAAGTCGGGCATTTGCAGCCGTTGCCTGTAGCAGGCACGCCCCCGGAGGTGCTGAGCGGTGCTGTCCAGCTGCTCGTTGCAGCCACAGCGCCTGCTCTCACGCCCACCTGTCAGATATAGTAGGAGTACGGCCTAGGCTTAGTAGCCTAGGCCACAGTAGGACTACGAAAGGAGGCGCCAAGTACGAGCTAGGATTGTGTGCAGGAACAGAATTGAGAAGGAGTTTGATTGAACTAGCAAGCAGCAGGATACAAATAGCAAACCCTAAGGGGCTGTACTCACTATTGAGTACCCCACTGCAGGCTACACAAACAACATATTCTGACACACCCCCATAGCCAAAGTGGGGTGTAATCAGCACAATGAGCAGTCATAGCAATAGTTCATAATTATCAGCAAAGCTAGAGGCTATCACAGAGGGCAAGTGAGGAGGAGGAGGGACTATGAAAGGAGAGAAGATGGGAGGCGACGACTGAAGCTGCAGACACACGGGCAACAGAAGCGGCTGACACAGTGGCGGCTGACACAGTGGCTACCGAGACAGAGCGCCCCGGAATACTGGAGTAACTGGCTCTGCGGCTACGACGAGCGGCAGAAGCAACGGACCCACGGGCGACTGGTGCAGCAGGCTCTCAGTGGCTACCGAGACAGTGCGTCCCGGAATACAGGAGTAACAGGCTCTGCGGCTGCGACGAGCGGCAGGAGCAACGGACCCACGGGCAACAGGTGCAGCAGGCTCTCTGAGCTACCAGGACAGTGCGCCCCGGACTACAGGTGCTGCGGACGACAAGACAGCAGCCTCCACTCAACCTCCCCCGACCGTCCCACACCCCTCTCACACACCCCCTGCTGAAACCCTAGCTCCACTCCCACGGCACCCCCCTTAAACCCTAAACCCTCGGCTCCCACACACCCACCCCCCTCAGCGGCAGCTGCAGCAGTGGGAGACGGAGGAGGAGGAGGAGCTTCAGGTTACCCACACCGGTCACCCCCATGCTCGCCACCCCACACCCCCACCACCGCGGAACGTACGGCGGATTGGGAGCAATGGGCAGCACGGGGAGGGGGGGGGGGGGGGGGGCTGCAGGGACGGGCCGCGGGCTGCTGCAGGTGCGGGCTGCTCCAGGGGCGGCTGCTGCAGGTGCGGGCTGCTCCAGGGGCGGCTGCTGCAGGCACGGGCTGCTCCAGGGGCGGCTGCTGCAGGTGCGGGCTGCTCCAGGGGCGGCTCCAGGGGCGGCCGCTGCAGGTGAAGGTAGGAGGACGGGGGGGGAAGAACGCGGCCCCCAGGGCGCCCCGACGGCCGACGAGAAAGGGAGCCGCGCGGCCCCCCCATGGCCGCCGCGACGGGCGACGGGAAGGGCGCCGCGCGGGCCCCCAGAGCCGCCGCGACGGGCGACGGGAAGGGCGCCGCGCGGGCCCCCCCGGAGCGCCACGACGGGCGACGGGAAGGGGAGGCCGCGCGGCCCCCGTGGTCGCCACGACGGGCGACGAAAAGGGCGCCGCGCGGGCCCCCCCGGAGCGCCACGACGGGCGACGGGAAGGGGAGGCCGCGCGGCCCCCGTGGTCGCCACGACGGGCGACGAGAGGGGACCGCGCGCGGGCCCCCTTGGTCGCCACGACGGACAACGGGAGGGGAGGCCGCGCGGGCCCCCGTGGTCGCCACGACAGACGACGGGAGGGGAGGCCGCGCGGGCCCCCGTGGTCGCCACGACGGACGACGGGAGGGGAGGCCGCGCGGGCCCCCGTGGTCGCCACGACGGACGACGGGAGGGGACCGCGCGCGAGCCCCCCGTGCTCGCCACGACGGGCGACGGGAGGTGAGGCCGCGCGGGCCCCCGGTAGCAGTAGAAACGACGGGCGCCACGACGGGCGCCACGGAGGGGTAAGCCGCCACGCGTCCCGAGCGCGCGGCGGGCAGAAACCCTAATTTCAGCGCCGCGCACCACGGGGCGCGCGGCGGACAGTACGGCAGCGGAAGCGGGTGGTGGGCCCATACACAGGAAGGCGGCAGACATGCCGCCCTCTGATACCATGTAAGATATAGTAGGAGTACGGCCTAGGCTTAGTAGCCTAGGCCACAGTAGGACTACGAAAGGAGGCGCCAAGTACGAGCTAGGATTGTGTGCAGGAACAGAATTGAGAAGGAGTTTGATTGAACTAGCAAGCAGCAGGATACAAATAGCAAACCCTAAGGGGCTGTACTCACTATTGAGTACCCCACTGCAGGCTACACAAACAACATATTCTGACACCACCTGCCGGGTCCTGCACCTGTTGCTGCTGCATCTGCCGTGGCTGAGGTCACCGTGGCTCTATCTGCCATCACTGCATCTGCTGCCTGTAGCAGGCACGCCCCCGGAGGCGCTGAGCCGCGCTGTCCAGCTGCTCGTTGTAGCCACGGCGCTTGCTCTCACGCCCACCTCTCGGCTCCTGCACTTGCCGTTGTTGCATTTAACATGGTTGATCTGTGTTGCTGTTTCCCCTGCTTCTTCTACCTCTTGCCCAGGTTCCGGGGGTGTGTCTTGCTATAGTTATGTGCTGCAGGCAGTTAAGGGGGTGTGTCGTGATATATATTTTATATATGTTTATAAACTGCCTGTAGCTTTAGCTTTAGTGTAGTTATGCCTTCTTGTTGTTGGTGGTGCACCGTTGCTATTTTGCTATATGTACCTTGTGTGCTATAGTGAAACCAATCATTCTCGATTCTCTCTTGGCGACAACTCCCTCGACACCCGCTTGGCCTAGGCTTCTAAGCCTAGGCCCTCCTTAAACCCGGTTCCTAGATTAAGTCCGTATCGTAACAGGGCGCTACGAGCAGGGTAACGCGCTACGGGCAGGGAACTATTCGGTGGGCCCCAAAAAAACGGTCCTGGAACAGGACCTGCTCTGAAACCATGTCAGAATACTGAACGAAAATGATTGAATTGAGATAGAACTGAGTACAAGTACTAACCCTAATTGGATTGTACCCCTTTATGGGCTACCCCCACTAGAGCCTATATGATATAAGCATTATAACTTTTTAACATGTGCGCCCATAACCCCCCAGGCAAACCCGCCTGTAACCCCCCCTTAGGATCAATCGGGCATCCACAGTGCAGATCTAATGACACCCGCTTCCCCTCGCGCTGCATCCCTGCTTCCCCTCGCGCTGCATCCCTGCTTCCCCTCGCGCTGCTTCCCTGCTTCCCCTTGCGCTGGTTTTCCAAATTCCCTACTGGCAGCTTTCCCCTTTCCCTACGCGCTGCCTTCCCCCGTCCTATACGCACCTTTCCCCTTTCCATACCCGCTGGTTCCCCCTTTGCCGTCTCTCTGTTCGACTACGCTCATCCCTGCCATTGCCAATAACCCAGCTGGATTAGCTCATCCCCGCTTTTAGCTTCAAGCTGGATTATCTCGCTTTCCGCTCGCCGCTTTCAGTTGATCGCGAATTTGTCCCATTTTTCGCAGGCCGCTTACAGCTTACCGCATGGTTATCCCGCTTTCCGCGAACCGCAGCCCAGTGAAAACACCCAAGTGGCGCGCTCTCGTTTTTTACTCGCACTACCATCGTTCACGTATTGACTTTAGCGACTGCGTTACATCATTCGTGGCTGCACCGAGTTCCCTTCCCTCGTTCTACCCTCCCACCCCTCGCACTGCATCCCCGCTTCCCCTCGCGCTGCATCCCTGCTCTCTTCCCTCCCTGCTCTCTCTTCCCTCCCTGCTCTCTCTTCCCTCCCTGTTCTCTCTTCCCTCCCTGCTCTCTCTTCCCTCCCTGCTTTCTCTTCCCTCCTTGCTCTCTCTTCCCTCCCTGCTCTCTCTTCCCTCCCTGCTCTCTCTTCCCTCCCTGTTCTCTCTTCCGTGGTGCAGCTCGTCAGGCATGAAGCAACCATGCAGACTTGTTAGATTTACGGTAGGATAGTGTGATGTGGGTCCTTGCTGTATCATACGGTAACATCGCGTTGCAAGTTATTTACCAAGTACCCTCATCAGTTTGAGGTTCTATATTCAATAATGGTAGCATTGGTCACGCGTGGGTATTTGTAATGGTCCCTCTTTTGCAATACTGGTGGGTGTGGAGAACATTTACCGTATGTATTATGTGTAAAATAACTTGAGTTACAAGACGGCCTTTGTCCACTTATATAGTCGCCTCCCCTCAGACGTTGGCTAATGAGCTCCTGCTGGGTGGTGAGAGCCCATGTAGTGATCATGCTGCTGCGGTCACCCCAGCTGCAGTAGCAAGTCGGAGAGGCCCAAGCAGGAAGGAAGGAGGGGTGGATGAGTGGCGCATGAGGTGGCAGGGCGAATGGAGAGTGCCATAATGCCCAGCATCCACTCTCCCTATGGCGCGTGTGGCAGCGGGCTTAGCCCATGTCCTCCCCTCCATGGCGGCCCACTGCCCTGCTGCAGCCTGCACGGCACACTCAGCCGAGCACGAGGGGAAAAGAGGAGAGTGGGGGAGCAATGGCAGGGCATAAGGAAAGCAGCGGGAAAGGAATGGGAAGGAGAGTGAAGGAGTGGGAAGGAGAGGGAAAGGAGTGGGAAACGATGGTGGAAACGGGGATAAAGGGGGGGAAAGGAGTGGCCAATAAAGCAAGGGGAAGAGGATGGCAGGGGAGAAGGAGGTGGACAGGGGGAGAGAGGACAGAGGGGATGGAGGAGGACAGGGGGGGGAGAGGGCAGAGGGGACGGAGGAGGACAGGGGGGAGAGAGGACAGAGGGGACAGAGGAGGACAGGGGGGAGAGAGGACAGAGGGGACGGAGGAGGACAAGGGGGAGAGAGGACAGAGGTTACGGAGGAAGACAGGGGGGAGAGAGGACAGGGGGGACGGAGGAGGACAGGGGGGAGAGAGGACAGAGGGGACGGAGGAGGACAAGGGGGAGAGAGGGCAGAGGGGACGGAGGAGGACAGGGGGGAGAGAGGATGACAGGGGGGGGGGAGGAGGACAGGGGGGAGAGAGGATGACAGGGGGGGGGGGAGGAGGACAGGGTGGAGAGAGGATGGCGGTGGAGAGAGAGGAGAACAGGGGGGGCGAGAGAAAGACAAGGGTGGGAGGGAGACAAGGGGAGGAGAGGATGACAGGGGAGAGAGGACGACAGGGGAGAGAGAGAAGGACGGGGGAGGAGGAGGACAGGGGGGGGAGAGGATGACGTGGGGGGGAGGAGGACAAGGGGGGGAAAGGATGAAAGGGAGGAGAGAGGAGGACAGGGGGAGAGTGGATGAGGGGGCATGAGGGAGGTGTGCAAGTCAGTCAGGTGTGCTAGGAATGGGCAGCGGAGAAGGGAATTGGAGGGATGAGGAGAAAAGCGCAGGTTCGTGTGAGCGCAGTTGAGTGCGAGATGCACTTCCCTCCCTAAACCCGCACTCGCCACGCCTCTGCCCCTCGCACCCACGCTGCTGCCATGGGACTCCTGCCACCTCACTCACCACTACTGGAGGGCGGAGAGGAAGAGGTTCGGAGGGATGAGGAAAGGCGCTGGCACGTGAATGGGCGCATTTCGCGCACCTCGTCAAACGTGCAGCTGGCGGTTCCGTAGCGGTCACGAGGTTGCAGGCGCGGGTGGGAAAAAGGGGGAGGGGGGAAACCAAGAGAAAGTAGTGGGGAAATGGGGAAGATAAAATTGAAATGAGGGGAAGGAGGGATGGGAATGAGGGCATGGAGGGGGGAAATGGGGGGAAGGCGGGGGAGACATGAGGGAAAGAAGGGAGAGAACGAAGGGAGGAGATAGAATGAGCTGAGAGATTGTTTGGGGGGGATGGGAAGATGGGGGTGAGGGACGGGAGGAGATTGGAGGAGGAGGTGCGACCTGGGGGAAAAGGGAGGTGCGACCTGGGGGGAAACGGAGGTGCGACCTGGGGAAAAGGGAGGTGCGACCTGGGGGGAGGAGGAGGTGCGACCTGGGGGAAAAGGGAGGTGCGACCTGGGGGGGAACGGAGGTGCGACCTGAGGGAAAAGGGAGGTGCGACCTGGGGGGAAACGGAGGTGCGACCTGGGGGAAAAGGGAGGTGCGACCTGGGGGGAAACGGAGGTGCGACCTGGAATGGCCGCTACTCTGTACTCTCCTAGCAGGGATTGCGGCTGCGAGTGTGGTGGCGTGGAAAAGGCGGTACGCCACGCGCACATGGAGAGAATCGCGACTGTGAGCGGGGTGGCTTGAAACAGACGGTAGGAAAAGACGGTACAAGCGGGAATCGTGGCTCTTAGCGTGGTGGCGTGAAACAGACGCCGCAAGCGGAAATCGCGGCTTAGCGTGGTGGCGTGAAGAAGACGCTACGATACGCGCACCTGGCCAGCGGTTGTGGCGTGAATCGCGGTTGTGAGCGGGGTGGCGTGAAACAGACGTTACGCTACACGCTGCTAGCAGGAATCGCGGCTATCAGCGTGGCTGCGTGAAACAAGCACTACCCTACGCGCTCTAGGCGAATTTCGCGGCAGTGGGCGCGATGGCGTGCACTATTCTGCTGCGCTGCCTGCAGCTAGCGGGATTCGAGGCCTAGAGCGGTATGGCGTAGATTGCACGTTTGGCGGTTGTGCTCATCAGGGCATACGTTTTCTATTCCGCTTGGTTGTTTGTGTTGGGCGCAGGGTCTCCCGCATTTCCGCGGATTACTTCCCCCAAGCAAACCAGCTCACGAAACTGTTTGTCATCTCCAGCAGTGCTTGAATTCCTCGCACAGGTGTTTGGGGAAGAAGCTCAGTTTGCTCTCGAATCATGTTGGGCGAATGGGTGTGCAATTAAATTACCCCCAGAAAATCCCTTTTAGAATGTAGACCGCAGCTTTAATATTAGTAAAACGTGCTTTCGCAACAGGAAAAGAGATTTTGCTGTGAGAAGAGGGAGTGCACAGTGCAGAACATAGAACGAGAGGGAGATCTTGCTGGGAAAAGCATAACGTAGCTACGTTTTACAAGCTCAGGACATGTTTCAATAGGTTTTCACAACAGTTGCAATGAGATTGGTCCTGAAGGGTACAGTCGGTGCTCATTTCAACAACACCAGGTAGGCGGGCGGCATGTGCGTGAAACGATTTTTGGGAATTTCGCCATGTTTGCCCTTGTCGCCACGGGAAAAAATGGGACTGTAATATGAAATTGCAATGTGAATCGCGTTTAGGGCTTTAAAGCTGTAACCAGACAAACATTTTTTTTACGGGCAACCGTTTTTGTTTATTAATTGTAGATGTTTTTCTTCCGCAACTTGGTGATTGTACCACAATGCTCAATTCAGTCACTCACGGGCAAAAACGTTCGCGAGTGACTGTTTTTTCGACTGTGCTGACCTTTGGACACGGAATTAGGTGAGCATGGACTGTAGCCTGAACAGTCATAGCATCTCGAATGGCGATGTCACGTAGCCGTCAAGTAATGCAGAAGAAAGCGCAATGCCAGATTCCCAATAAAAACGGCATGTGGTTGGAGTTGACACGCGGGTTACTTGCAGCATTTGGTCCCTTGAGACACTCATGGAGAATGTGTGATGCATCATGGCTGGTCACACAGAGCATGTGATAGCATTTTCTGTAACAGCTCACCCTCTACTTTTGGACTCAACCAAATGACACTCCAATGAATTGTTTTGGCCAATTGAGACCTACCTCCTTGGAACAATGTCAGTTTTGCAGAATTGCATTATCGCAACAACCTCAGGCAATTATTCAAAGATACTGCTCCACTTTGTGCGGCCATTATTGAAGCCCCGTCAGGAAAGGCGTATACGTACCGTACATACGAAGTCATTTTCTGTAGCAGCTCAGAATTGTGCAATTCTGAGACTTTCTAAGTCTCTTTTCGCTTTTGTATTATATACAGCATATACAACTTGGAAAAACATAGACCACAATTACCCCCTAAAACAGCCCGAAGTGACGAACGACACTCGTCAACAACCCAACAACACCCCCCTAGGGGGAAAAATCATGCCCTTCACTTTCGTAGTCCTAGTTTGCTGGTGGGCAGATCCGCGTGTTCAATCTGATGAACGTTACAATATCTTAAATGAAAGGGCCTTCACGATCGTGATTCGTGAAATTTGGGGGTGACTCGATAAACGGACAACCTCGAATATGTTGGGGTGGGGGCATTTGGAATTACTACGCCTGGCTTTCGTCTGTCTTGTCACGTGGCACATCACTTGTACAATTGAATCTCTGGCGAAAATCACCGCCACCCTTTACAAAAACGACCTTCTCTGAACCGTCCGATTCGGCCTGCCGAAACGATACGATGAGCACGCGTGCATGCTGTTGGCGTTCTGTTCAGCGCCAATTCGAGACGCGTCAGCAGTAGCGCTGTTGATTCAGTATCATGGCAGAGAAGGGGAGGAGAGATAGAGAGGGGTGAGGTGGCGAGGGGAGGGGAGGGGAGGGGAGGGGAGGGGAGGGGAGGGGAGGGGAGGGGAGGGGAGGGGAGGGGAGGGGAGGGGAGGGGAGGGGAGGGGAGGGGAGGGGAGGGGAGGGGAGGGGAGGGGAGGGGAGGGGAGGGGAGGGGAGGGGAGCGGGGGGGGGGGATAACGGCGGAGCCAAGATTCCTTGGGCTCCTCTCGCGATTGGTTCTTGGGTTGGGTGTCTTGTTTTGTGCGAACTCTAGGCTTAGGCATCCTAGCTTCTGACGAATCCCTGCTCCGTGTGATGTCAGGAGGACAGCTTTTTGAATGTAGTACTAGACTTTCCTACAAATGCTAGTATATGTGTTGGTAAAGTTTAGGGAGATTTGCCTTGCAGAAACTTTCTTTCTAGTGCACTAGAATCTGACGAGCAGTCGTGATATACGGCAAGTTAGTGATTAGGTCACAAAGTAAACGGTTCCGTTCGCATCGTGTCGCACATCTCTGTCCTCACGGAGGCTAGTATCTCGTTCCGTGCGTCGTTTCGCACGTGTTACATACAGTATATTTCCTTCGTTTTGGCGCTTAGCTTCGCACGAACCTTCGCACGAACCCGTAACTTCGCACGAACCTGGTAACTCATGCACACGCAGCTGGAAACCGCGCCGGCCGCGATCTCGCAGCATTTCAAGCTGGGTGACTCCAAACCCCGTTTCGAGGCGCCTCATATCTCGCCGCAAGTTGCGTCTCCAGTCTCCCCGCAATCCAAGCTGGGGGACGCCATCTCCCCCCCTTCCCGCGCCCCCCGCAACCTCCAGTTGCGGGTGGGCGGGGACGCTTCTCCCTCCAAAGCCGCGCGCCCGGGCCTTCATCCCCACCTCCCGGGGGACGCTTCCCCCTGCAAAGCCCCGCGCGGGGATACCCAAGCGCGTGTTTCCCCGGAGACCTCCCCGTCCCCCGCCAAAGCCCCGCGCGGGGACCTTCAAGTGCGCGTGGCGGCGGGGGAATCCCCCTCGCGCCTCTGGTTCCGCCGAACCGGGTCCGAGGACGAAGCGCGAGCCCTCGCACAATTGCTTTCGCTCCAGCAGCAGCAGCAGCAGCAGCAGCAGCAGCAGCAGCAGCAGCAGCAACTAGCTCGTCAATCTGGTCAACCCAGTCAATCCGGTCAACTGGGTCAATCTGGTCAACCGGGTCAATCAAGTCAACCAGGTCAACCGAGTCCATCGTCAGCAGCAGCAGCGATGATGGGAGCCTATCCGCGCTGCCGAACCGGCGACGGCTACCCAATCGGCAGTCCATCACTAAGCTCCCCGCGTTTGCCGCCGCGATCCCCGCGCACGCCGGATCTTTCTCAGTCGCCGGCCGGGTCGTCTCACAGCTCCCCGCATCGCTCGCGACCCGGGTATCCCGCAAGCGGCGTGCACGTGCCGAATCGCGAGCTCGCTCGACGGTCGCAGCAGTGGGCGAATCTGCGATGCGAGGCGAAGGTTCTTTCGAGCGCGCTAGAGGAGCTGGTCGCATCGACGGTGAACGATTGGAGCGTAGAGAGCGTGGAGGGCGTGGCAGGCAGGGGTGGTGGCGTCGCGAGCAGCAGTAACGATAACGTTAACGGTAACGGGAGCCGGAACGGGAACGGGAGTGGGAACAGTGACGGGGATAGTAATAGCGCGAGGCTCTCCAGCCCAGACCTAACGCCGACGGAGCTTTCGCCGAAGGAGGCCGGGGGTTGTAACGAGCAGCGGAGAGAATGATAGCGGGGAGCGTGAAGTGGTGCGTACCGGCACCAGCCATTATTTGTTTAACACGCAGCAGCGGTAACTGTGCAGCAGGCAGCAGCGGTGATCGTAGCACGCGGCAGCAGTACTCGTGTAACATAAGACGTGGACAGCGGAACTCGAAGCAGAAGCATGTGCGAATAGCGTAACTTTTTTGTAACATTTGGCGATTGGTGGCTGATTCAATAGTAGCTGTGATGCGACACGTGAATAGCCGAGAAGAACAAGGGATATTTTATTCCACTGGTAGTTGCGCAGATGCAGCAGTTGGGTTTCGACAGAGCAGCTGTGCGGAAAGTCGAGGATTGATGTTGGGAGGTCAGATTGAGTCTTGACGACGTTTGGTGAGTTTTTTTGGCGATTCGGTGACGCTTATGCAGAAAACGGTTTCGCAATACCGGGTACGCCTGTACGGATTGCTTTCTCCTCCTCCTTATCGCTGTCGCTTCCCCTTTTCTCCTTTCATCGTTTACTGATTCCTGAGATTTTTCCTGTGTAATGCCACTCCGGGTACAGCCAGTTTTAACATCCGTTAACTCAATAAAGCTGAAATAACCTGATCACTCAAGCTGGATTATGATTGTATTTCTCCTTTTGGTGCGAATCGCATTATGCGGGATTGGGATGCGGATGCATGAACACAATTGAACTGACACGTCACTTCATGCTCGCATGTGTTCACTTGTCAGTCCATGCTTGGGTGTATTTGCATGTCAGTGCAATCTTGTGTCCGTGTGCTTGTATGTGTATGCGCGTGCAAGCATGTGTGCTTAAATGCGGGAAGGCATGTATGCACGTGTGGACTCGCATTTCGTGCCATTGTGCCTGTATGCGTGCCAAGATATTCACATTTGTGAAACTATGTGTGTGTCTTTCTGCATGTGTGCATGTGACAGAGTGCATGTGTGCTTCCATGTGTGTGTGCAAGTGTGCATACATACATCCATGTGTCAGATGCACAGATGCATGATGCATGTCCCACGTGTTATGTGCACTATGCACAGTGCGTGTACCCATGCCTTGTCTTCTGTAAAGTGTCTAAACGCCCTCAACTCTCAATGTCATACCACGTTGTCCCATCTCACGTCATCCTGTGTGCGGTGCTACAGCGTGCGTGTCACCCTATGCCATGTGCCCTGTGAACAAGGTTTATGACATGACAGCGTCCGTGTCACCCCTGGAGTCTGTTTAATGTCATGCCACGTTGTCCCATGTCACCGTGTCTGTGCCATTGTCTATGTGTGTCTATCCCCAGGCTATGTGCTCTGTGCATTTTTCATAATCACCCTGAATTCCCTTCAATGTCGTGTCTAGTAGTCATGTGTCACCTCGTCCCGTGTACAGTGCCATTGTGTGTGTGTGTGTGTGTTACTTCATGTCACGTGCCCTGGCATGCCACGTTGACCCATGTCACCTTGCCCTGTGCACAGTTGCCATTGTCTGTGTGTGTATCACCCCATGCAATGTGTTCTGTGCATTGTGCATATCACCCTGGACTGTGTAGGGCTGTGTTGGTGTGTCATTGCCATAGCACCATCTCATGTCATGTCATCCCATCCCATATCAAGGCATGTTATGGGATGATGTTGTCTCATTGTGGTCTGCCCAATGCCCATGTCATGTCATGCCTCTGTTGCAACTTGCATATCTCGCCCCGCAATATCCTGAATGCACAATAAAGGTGGCGTGTGGATTTTTTTTCTGCGTAGTGCGTGTATGTGCTGATGGTGGTTGGTTACTGCAAGTCTCAAGGTCCCTGAAAACAGGATGTAGAATCATACACCCCAGCTTCACTTGTGTGCGATTCGATTTGATTTAAAACTATTTACTGTACCATCTCGACCATCCAGTCTTCTCCAGAAGAATCAAAGCCAACTGTATTAGAGAGAGGGCTCACTCCCAGATTCCACCCAGGGGACTCTGAAAAACATCCAATCAGAGTCTAGTGAAATCATTTGCCCTTGCTGAAATTAAAAATCATGTGAAAACATGTGGAATCTGGCAAAACAGTTGAATTGCATTTTAGCAGTTGCATGCCCTGAATAAGTTCAGATCAAAGTACCTTATTTTAAATATGCGCTTTCAGTCATAACAAGAATAATGGAATCTGGGAAGTCGCATGAGGGAGGCGCACACCCCATCGTCTCTGCATGTCAGCCACCATACCTATCTGCCAGGCTCGGCGGAGGAAGCTCGGACATGATGTTTGGATGCAGAAGCAGGTACTGGCGAATAGTGGTCTGACGGTCGGCCAGAAACGTGTGGTCCAGGAAACTTGCAAGCGCCTCTTCTCCTAGCCCTTGCGCTGCCAGCACACTGCACCAGGGGAATGGGGTAAGGGAAGGGCAAATGGTACTCGTAAATGGTAGAGGTCGGGTGGTCTGACGGTCGGCCAGAAACGTGTGGTCCAGGAAACTTGCAAGCGCCTCTTCTCCTAGCCATTGCGCTGCCAGCACACTGCACCAGGGGAATGGGGTAAGGGAAGGGCAAATGGTACTCGTAAATGGTAGAGGTCGGGTGGTCTGACGGTCGGCCAGAAACATGTGGTCCAGGAAACTTGCAAGAGCCTCTTCTCCTAGTCCTTGCGCTGCCAGCACACTGCAGCAGATGGAAGAGGCAAAGACACACACATACAGAATGCAGAGTGCAGCAGAATGCAGCTGAGTGCAGAATGCAGAATGCAGCAGGCGCCGGTGATTAGAAGCTTGGGTGTCGGCTAGCTAGAACAAGTGGTGTGGGAATCTTGCAAGAGCCTCTGCTACAAGCCCTTGAGGCGCCAGCACAGTGCAGCAGGGAAGAAGAGGGAAAGGAGGGCATAAGAGATTGGACATCCATCTCCGGGCTGTCTTGCAAGTTGCAACACACACACTGAAGATGATTCAATTCAGCGCTATGGAATAAGCATAATCTCGCACCCTCTGCATGGCCCACCTGCCGGTCCTGCAGTGCAGCATAGATAGATATGCTGTGTCGCATGGTAACACAGTATCGTGACATCTCACTAGTAATGAGTCATCCCACACCCTCTCCACGCCTCACCAGCCATACTGCAGCGCAGCATAGATAGGTGTGCCGTGCTGCATGGTAACATGGTAACAGGATATCTTACCAGTGCCGGAGGTACACGCGGCATGGCAGCAACGAGTCGTCCTACACCCTTTCCACGCCCCACTGGCCATACTGCAACGCAGCATAGATAGGTGTGCCGTACTGCATGGTAACATGGTAACACAATAACAGGAAATCTCACCAGTGCCGCAGGTACACGCGGCATGGTAGTAACGAGTCATCCCACACCCTCTCCACGCCCCACTGGCCATACTGCAACGCAGCATAGATATGTGTGCCGTACTGCATGGTAACATGGTAATATGGTAACACAGTAACGTGATATCTCACCAGTGCCGCAGGTACACGCGGCATGGCAGTAACGAGTCGTCCCACACCCTCGCCACACCCCACCTGCCGTACTGCCTCTCATACTCCTCCGTGTCGCCTGGGGGGGTAGGGGGCAGAGAGGGGGGGAGGAATGCCACGCCCAGGGAGCAACGCTACAGGAAGCAGGCACGTGGCATGTCACATGGAAAGAGAGCACACCCTCGCCACACCCCACCTGCCGTACTGCCTCTCATACTCCTCTGTGTCGCCTGGAAGGGGGGTGGAGAGGAGGGGGAAGAAAAGTGAGGCGAGGAGGGAGGAGAGGAGGGAGGAAAGGGGAGGGGAGGAAGGAGCAATGCCATGCCATGCGATGGTTTTCATTACTGGGAGAAGGAAAATGGAGGATCTTTCCATGAGGAGAGGAGGGTGGAAAGGAGGAAGGAAAGGGGAGGAGAGGGAGGAGCAATGCCATGTGAAAAGGAAAAGACGCTAAAAAAAAACGACTTGAAGGATTTCATTACAGGGAGAAGGAAAATGACGGATCATTCCACAAGGAGAGAAGAGCACACCTTTGAGACGGATTTGAAGGTACTCTTGATCGCTGTAGCGACTGCAGATGACCTGAGGAAGGGAGATGGAGAAAGAGAGAGGGTTGGGTTGTGGAGAGCGGTGGAGGGAAACGAGGGAAACGAGGAAATTGAAGGTGCTCTTGGTCACTGTAGCGACTGCAGATGACCTGAGGAAGGGAGATGGTAGGAGGGAGAGAGGGTTGGATTGCAGAGGGGCAAAAAGAGGCAGTTTTCAAGGTACACTAAAGTGCTTTCACGGTGAGCAGGAATAAATGCGACAAAGGCATTTACGCTGCCAGGTTGTCATGGGTGGTTCAGAAGGGCATGGTCACTGACAGTTGATGCATGGTCACTGACAGTTGATGCATGGTCACTGACAGTTGATGCATGGTCACTGACAGTTGATGTGCTGTCGATGCTGTGTGACAGTCTATGCCATGTTGATGTTCCATCAGCCATGTTGATGTTCCATCAGCCATGTTGATGTTCCATCAGCCATGTTGATGTTCCATCAGCCATGTTGATGTTCCATTGCAGTCGATCAATTCTGGTGCTGATAAGTCCGGTGATGCTGCTGATGGCTTTTGAGAATGCCAAAAAGCCAATCCATGCTTACTCACTGCGACAGGCGTTGGTTCAAGTGCCAGTGATGCTGATTCTGCTGCTGCTGAACCTGGTGATGCTGCTACTGGTGATAATCTGCTCGGGGGAACCTGAGTAGCATAGATTGGAAGGAAAGAAGGGGAGTGAGGCGAAGAGGGAATGGGAGCATCAAGGGCGGATGGAGGAAGGGAGGGATGAAGGGAGGGAAGGACGAAGGGAGGGAGAAAGCTTACAAGAAGGAACCGGAACTCATGCTCTCGTTCCATGAATGCAGGCACCTGCCACGTCAACATGCCATGCCACCACGCCACGTCACCATCCCACATCACCATGCCACAGGAAAATTATTGGATGGCAGTAGCTAACTCAAAAAGCAGGTATGCAGGTGCATTGCTCAGTCAGGTAGCAGCAGGTACGATTAGCAATGCATCCAGTAGGCCCCACACCACCCCTCCGTTTCGTCGTCCTAAAACAACAAGAGTTGATGGAAGTAAGGCCTCCGCAGCCCACCTCTCTGATACTGACACGATGCATCCAGTAGGCCCCACACCACCCCTCCGCTTCTCCCCTCCTCTTCACCCATTGACCTCCCTCCCCTCCCTCTCCTTTTCAGCCTCCCCTACTTCCCCACTCCTCCTTCCGCACCCACCTCTCCCCCTCCCCACCTCTCCCCCTCCCCACCCTCCCCCCTCTTTTCCGCCCCCCCACTAACTTCCTCCTTTCCCAAGATAGAGATTCTTGAAGCTGAGCTTATAACGAGTACCTCAGTAGCGGGTATGGAGAAGAGTGTGACAACGATCTCCTCCCCCTCGCAGGGCTCCACACTCAGGCTCGAGTACTCCTGGGAGTGGGGAGCGGTGGGGAGCGGTGGAGGCAGCAGATGTTTCAAGATGGGCAATGTGTGGAACATAGCGAGCACGAGAGGTGGGAAGATGGGCGGAGCAGGGAAGGCGAGATGGAAGAGGAGGAGAGGTGGGCAGAGAAAGGAAGGCGCGATGGAAGAGGAGGAGAGGTGGGCAGAGAAAGGAAGGCGCGATGGAAGAGGAGGAGAGGTGGGCAGAGAAAGGAAGGCGCGATGGAAGAGGAGGAGAGGTGGGCAGAGAAAGGAAGGCGCGATGGAAGAGGAGGAGAGGTGGGCAGAGAAAGGAAGGCGCGATGGAAGAGGAGGAGAGGTGGGCAGAGAAAGGAAGGCGCGATGGAAGAGGAGGAGAGGTGGGCAGAGAAAGGAAGGCGCGATGGAAGAGGAGGAGAGGTGGGCAGAGAAAGGAAGGCGCGATGGAAGAGGAGGAGAGGTGGGCAGAGAAAGGAAGGCGCGATGGAAGAGGAGGAGAGGTGGGCAGAGAAAGGAAGGCGCGATAGAAGAGGAGGAGAGGTGGGCAGAGAAAGGAAGGCGCGATGGAAGAGGAGGAGAGGTGGGCAGAGAAAGGAAGGCGCGATGGAAGAGGAGGAGAGGTGGGCAGAGAAAGGAAGGCGCGATGGAAGAGGAGGAGAGGTGGGCAGAGAAAGGAAGGCGCGATGGAAGAGGAGGAGAGGTGGGCAGAGAAAGGAAGGCGCGATGGAAGAGGAGGAGAGGTGGGCAGAGAAAGGAAGGCGCGATGGAAGAGGAGGAGAGGTGGGCAGAGAAAGGAAGGCGCGATGGAAGAGGAGGAGAGGTGGGCAGAGAAAGGAAGGCGCGATGGAAGAGGAGGAGAGGTGGGCAGAGAAAGGAAGGCGCGATGGAAGAGGAGGAGAGGTGGGCAGAGAAAGGAAGGCGCGATAGAAGAGGAGGAGAGGTGGGCAGAGAAAGGAAGGCGCGATGGAAGAGGAGGAGAGGTGGGCAGAGAAAGGAAGGCGCGATGGAAGAGGAGGAGAGGTGGGCAGAGAAAGGAAGGCGCGATGGAAGAGGAGGAGAGGTGGGCAGAGAAAGGAAGGCGCGATGGAAGAGGAGGAGAGGTGGGCAGAGAAAGGAAGGCGCGATGATTCGAGAAGAAGCGGTAGAGGTGGGAGAGGTGTGGGAGAGAGGTGGGAGAGAGGTGTGAGAGAGGTGGGAGCGAGGTGGGAGAGAGGTGGGAGAGAGGTGTGAGAGAGGTGTGAGAGAGGTGGGAGAGAGGTGTGAGAGAGGTGGGATCGCCAGAGCAGGGGATGTCACGCACTCACCCTGGTCTCGCTATTAGCAATCCCCCTTATAAAGAACACTGGCGCAGCGTGGCAGAAGACCCGGCGGAACCCTCTCAGCCTGGCCTGGCGGAACCCCTCCAGTGATGGGAACGTGCTGCGCGCACTGCGCTCTTGGTGGTTAAAGGAGGGGTGGTGAGGGGTGGAGACGAATGGGGAGGGGTTGAGGGGGAGGATGAGGAACCCCTTCTTGCACAAGGCCGAACCCTCTCAGCCTGGCCTGGCGAAACCCCTCCAGGGATGGGAACGTGCTGTGTGCACTGCCACTGCCCTCTTGTGCAGACAAGAAATGGAAGGGGTGAAGAGTGGTGGAACGGGATGGGGAGCGGTATGGAGGGGTGGGGAACAGTGAGGAGGGATGGGGAGGAGGGTGAGTGACCCCTTGTTGTACCGGGCGAAATTCCGTCAGCCTGGCCTGGCGGAAGCCCTTACAGTAACGGAAGCGTGCTGTGCGTACTGCGCTCTTGGTCGATTTGAGATGTGGTGAGGGGTGGAGAGGAATGGGGAGGGGTTCAGAAGGATGAGTGACCCCTTGTTGCACCCAACGGAACCCCTCCAGTGATTTGAACATGCAGAAGATACGAGGAAGCTGCAGAGGATATATATTACCTGAGAGGAGCGATCCGAATCCGATGATGGAAATCCGGCCATCCTCGCTCGCTGCCTGTAGGAAATCCGATTCGTCCGTCAACTCAACGCAGCCACTAGCGTCATGACACGTGTCAATGCTGGTAGCACGGATCGCGTCCGCCGACTGCCGACGCGATCCAGCTGTCAACAACCAGTCGACGTCTTCTGATCGTAGTTCGAATCGCCGGCCGACATCGGGGGTACGGAATACTTGCAAACGTCGTATCGTCCTACCATGGTAGAAACGAGACGCATTCAGCGCATTGACCGGAGAAGGCGATTCGAGGCGCGCAATGCGGTTTCCTGCTGGGACGCAGGCTCGGGAAAACGCAGATGCACGGTAGCGTGCTCTGGAGCACATACTAGAGATACGGAAACATGCAGCCGAGGGAATTGGGGTTTTTCGCTGCAGAGCAGCAGGCACGTGGGGAGCTCCGCCGTGCCACGCAGCCATTTGGAAGTGCAGTGGGGGTTTCTGGAATTGTTAGCGCGAAATGCGGCAGAATCTCATCTGGGAGTGATGAGCTGATTGTGAAGTAAATGTCTTGATGGCACAGAGCATGTGTCTGGAAAGATAGTGTTACGAGTGCAATGGAGTGAGCGAGCGAGGATTCCACTATCGAGCGAGAATACAATGAGCGAAGGATTGAGCGAAGAACATATAGCGAAGCTATAGTGGTAATGGTAACGTGTGGAAAATGGGGTGCGCGACGGGCCTGATGCCGAGGTTGGGGGACTGTCGAGGCGGAGGTCCGGAGCGCGGGTTACCAACCTAACCGTGAGGTTGGGTCGCATCGTGAACAGTGGCGGGAATGGGGTCGAGGCGAATGTCGCGAGTGGTGTGCGCGCTAAGCAAAGACGCGAAGTAAGGAAAAGGACATTTCCTTACACTACCCCCCCCCCCCCCCCCCCCCCCCCCCCCGAGGAGGCCTCTCTTACGAGAGCGCGTGTATATCCTGGAAATTCCGGTTGCGCAGATACTCGGTGAGGACGGGGTGATTTTCGATTTTGTCCAGTGGAACCCAATTGTCCTCGATGGGCGTGCGGTCTCTCCAACGGATGAGGAATTCGACCCTTCGGGCTCCTCGTGGGTCACGAACTCGGTGGCTCATAATCTTTTCGGGCGTGATGACTGGCTCGGTCGGTGGTCGTGTCATGCTGGCTGGGCGATTTCGGGCCAGTTGGCTGGTGGATGGAATGTAGGGGCGAAGCAGGCTGACGTGGAAGGAGGGGCTGACGTACCAGTCAGCGCGGAGGAGGAGGTGGGCGATGACCGGTGTGATCATGTGGCTGATGCGAAATGGCCCGCAATATCGGGGGCGGAGTTTCGGGGTTATGGGCAAGCGAAGGTTTTGGGTGTCGAGTAGAACTAAGTCGTCAGGTTGGTAAGTGACGGGTCTGAGGTGGCGGTCGGCGTTGCGCTTAGCGATGACGTTGGCTTTTTTAATTGCGTCTGCTGCCCTGGTCCGTGCTTCCTGTAGAACTTCTGCGAATTTTTGCGCGCGTGGCACCGGGTTGTCGGGATTCGGGGTCATGGGTACTGTAGGGTCTTGTCCGTAGTTCAGGTAAAACGGTGACTGTTGGGTCGTGGCGCATGGCGAGTTATTGTACGCGAATTCGATTAGTGGCAGTTGCTGTTCCCAGGTGGTGGAGTCATCGCACGTGGCTCGGATTAACTGTTCCATGGTCTGGTTTGTCCGTTCTGTCTGTCCGTCGGTTTCGGGGTGGTACGAAGAACTGAACTGGAGTCTTGTGCCGAACTGCTGCCACAGGTTCCGCCAGAAGTTGCTGGTAAATTTCGTATCGCGATCGCTGATGATTGCTGCTGGTATCCCGTGTAATCGAACGATGGTCGCGATGAAGAGGCGGGCCGTTTCTTCGGCTGTGATTGATTTTTTGCAGGCTGCGAAATGTGCCATTTTCGTCAGCCGATCGACGACGACCAGGATCGCGTCGTTCCCACTTGCACCGGCCGGTAACCCCGTGACGAAGTCCATTGTCATCTGCTGCCAAGCACGCTCTGGGGGTGGTATGTGAGAATAATAGGAATGAATGGATGAACTAGGAAGCAGTTTGGTACAAGTAGCAAACCTAAAAGTGTTGTACCCTCTAAGAACTACCCCACTACAGCCTAAACAGACTATAGCAGATATAAGTTTGACACACCCCCATAGGCAAAGTGGGGGAGAACAAGAGGTCACAAGACCAGTCAAGAAAGACAAAGCAAGCTCAGGGTGGATCACAAAGTCACCACGCAGTCTGAGCACAAACAAATGGCCACAAGGCCAGTTCACATGCAGAGTTATATAAAGGAGAACAAACAATACAGTGAACACAACCTAGCAAGTGTAAGCATGCAGGTATATGTATAAAGAGTACAGTACAGGCAAAGTCAAGAGGTAAGCAAGTGAGGCACAGTAGGTACAAGACCTAACACAGTACAGAAACGCTGATGATCACAAGGCTGAAGTGCCTTGGTGAAAACATCAGCAGTGTTGGCCTGAGAGGCCACGTAAGCAAGACGAAGCTGGCCACGCTGCTGCAACTCTCGAGCAAGGAAGTAGCGCAGAGCAATGTGTTTTGTTCTGTGCTCCAGTCTGTGCTCCTGACACAAGGCCAGCATGGCCTTGTTGTCGACGTACAGAAATGGAGGAGAACGAGGCGCCTCTCCCAAGTCGGTCAGCAGGTAGGTAAGCCAGCGTAGCTCCTGTGCAGCCATGGCCCCAGCGTAGATCTCAGCCTCACAACCGGAGCTGAGAACAGAAGAAGAGCGGGTAGACCGCCAAGAGACAGAACCGGAGCCAAGACTGAAGGTGTAACCCTGTGACGACCGCTGCGTAGCCAAGTCGTCAACCCAGGAGGCGTCAGCGTGACCAGTGAGGACAACTCGAGCCCGTCCTCCAAGCACGAGCCCCATGCCCGATGTACTGCACAAGTATCGCAACACCCTCTTCGCAGCATCCCAGTGCACCTTTCGGTGCCTGCCGGGAGCCACGTAGCGAGCCAGAAGGCTGAGAGGGTATGCGAGGTCAGGTCGTGTGCAAGTCATCAGGTACATGAGACAGCCCACAAGCTCTGGATACGGGCCACTCGGCTCTACGGACTCGTCCGAAGGTGGAGCTGAGAGCGATTGACCGGTAGGCAGAAGAGTGAACTGTGGCGAGGAGTACGTGAAGCCGAAGCGCTGAAGGACCTGCTGCACCATGTGTGACTGAGTCAAGGTAATGGCGCGCTGTGCTCTGTCCCGGGTGATCCGCAAGCCAAGATAGCTTGTTAGCTCACCCAGGTCTGTGCACGTGTGTCTCTTCTGCAGCTCGGACTTCACGTGGGCGAGTGCCTCAGTGTCAGAAGTAGCAAAGACGAGGTCGTCTACGTACACGAGAACGTAGAACGGCGGCAGAGTGGTGTCAGTGCGTAAAAACAGAGAAGGGTCAGCAGTAGAAGGAGTAAAACCAAGAGCAGCAAGAGTCGTCCTCAGTGTGTCGTGCCACTCACGAGGTGCCTGGCGGAGACCGTAGACTAGCCGCCGGAGGCTCCACTGGGTACCAGCAGGAAACGACCCAGTGAAGCCAGGTGGGCGGCGCAGCCAGATCTCCTCGTGCAGGCTGCCCTGTAGGAAGGCTATGCTGAAGTCAAGCGAGTGGAGCTCGTAGTCACGGTGAGCGGCAACGTGCAGCAGTACACAAAGAGTGGTCATCTTCGGGGTAGGGAAGAAGGTCTGGAAGAAGTCAACTCCCTGTCGCTGACTAAAGCCACGTGCAACGTAACGCGCCTTGAAGACAGGCGGAGAACCCGGCGGCCGCTTCACCCTGAAGATCCACATGCCACTGACGATGTTCGCCCCAGGCGGGGGAACGTCGTCGACGTAGGTGCCTGTGGACTTCCAGGAAGCCATCTCGGCGTCCATGGGTGGCTTCCACTGAGAGGAGTAGGGACCATCTATCGCCTCTGCGTAAGAGCGCGGGGTCGGGATGTCTGGTGCATCCGGGTCTCCCTCAGGGGCAAGCAGCATGGACACGAGAGGAGGTACAGCAGTGGCAAAGCACTCAAACTCCTCCTGTCTGTCCTCAAGAACGTCCGTGTCAAGAGCACACTCACCCCCGACGGACGGAGGACAGACAGACGCAGACGCAGACTCAGCAACAAGACTAGTGGCGTAGTCTAGGCGACAGGCTTCAGCAAAGTCAACAAGCTCAGTAACGAGAGCAGACACAGCAATGGACTCAAACAAAGGGTCAGTGACAGCAGTGGCCAGGAAACGCGTGACAGCAGGACTAGCAGCACGAAGGGAGTCAGACTCCGGGTCCGGACTGTCAGGAAGAGAGGACGCAGGAGGAGACGGCAGAGGGACACGCTGTGGAGCAGAGGAAGGACGCAGAGTCATAGAGTGAGTGCCAGGGACAGGAGGAGGACGCGGACGCGAAACACGACGACCAGCACGAGCAGTGCGGACAGGCGACTCAGAACGAGACTCAGGTGACGCAGGACGAGACTCAGGCGACACAGGAGGCGACTCAGGCTCACGACGCTCCGTAAGACCTCTAGTCGGTCCAGAGTAAGGAGAAGGACCAGGCAGTGGAGAGGCCGGCTGTAACCGCGACTGGGACTGGACAGGCGGTGGACTCAGTAAGGGAGGAGTAGGACCAAGAACCTGCTGAAGGAGCGGAACGTAGTACGGCCGCGGCCGCGCAGCGCCTCCAGAAACACCAGAGACAGCACCAGTACCCTCAGCTCCAGAGTCTCGAGTAACAGCTCCCGCAGCACCACCAGCTCCAGTACCTGTAGCGCCACCGGCTGCAACACCACCAGCTCCTGCAGCTCCAGTACCTCCAGTACGAGCACCTCCAGGACCAGCGGCCCCAGCAGCTCCAGCACCAGCAGCACCTCCTGCAGCACCAGCACCAGCAGCACCTCCAGCAGCTCCAGCACCAGCAGCACCTC